ATATGTGATGTGTTTATTATATGTGTCACCACACTTAGGGATGCTCAGGTACCCAACAATTCAAACAGTGTCACACATTAAAATTAGAGGCTACATATGAGAAACTGCTAAGGTACACCTATAGGCTGGTATGTACATTCTCTTTAGATGGCATACTAGCAAAGGAGAGCAAATTAGGTGAGAGTTTTCTTTGTGTCATTTAATGTCTTGTGATCCGATGGAAGTATTTGACTAAAAGACTATTCTATACTATGACATTTAAGTGTGTAACAAAGATAATATTATCATGATTGTCATGCTAAAATAGTATGTGTGGCTTTTGATCTCAAGTTTTCTCTATAAAACCATATATCTGCTGTTTATTAACATTCTGCAGGGATTCAACTACTAGAACAACCATGGTTAATAAAAAATAGTCCTCTAACTATATTTTATATTTCAAAGTTCTTGATATCCAGGTAAAATTATAAGTCAAGCTCACTTCTCTGACTAAAATGCTTATATATCACTGACCTTCTCTTCTGGGTGTTCAACAACTGAAGTTTAGAGATCAGAATTAGAAAAGTAACCGGACTAAAAAGTCAGCCAATATTTTGACCCTAGCCCTTCAAATTAGTGAGGAGGCAGGACAAAAGGGAACCTTTCTACAGAACCTTACAACTTTGGTGAGACACCCAACCTCCCAAGCAGGGAGATTGCCTGATGTCAGAGGATAGAATTAACAAATATAGTATGCCAAGTGAGGATCATCAAGAGGGAAAGTCTCCCACACTTTCACCAAAGCAACATGGTCAAGCAAAGCCAAGACCCATCCTGTTGCCTGACACTGACAGAAGAGCTAAGAGGCTCTATACATGGTTCAAGGTAATGCTTGAATATACTTAATTGATCTTGATAGATAGCAAGAGGCTAATTTTGATTGACATGTGTCTCACTATAACTTAGTATTAAGCACCCAGTAGAAAAGTATAAGTGAAGATATTAAGTCAAGACCAAAATAATAAAAATAGATGTAAGAAGGGGCTCCAAGTGCTAATCACTTCTGGCAGTTTTCAGCTACACTGATAGTTGACACTGTTATGGATAGGTAAGAAAACCATGGTAGGGCTGGTGATTTAGCTCAGTGGTTCCGGTGCCTGCCTCACAAGCACAAGGACCAGAGATTGATCCCCAGTACCAAAAGCAAAACCATACAAAGAAAACCATGGTAAAATGTATAGGAGTTCAACAAAAGTTTTAAAATTTCTTAGCTAAAATTATTCTTCAAATTGTCTCTATCGTCTTACAGTTTAAACTAGAGAGACTTATGACAAAATATTGGACTTATAGATAACCGCCATCAGTAAAAGAGTCTAACAGCCAGTGGGTTACAATCACTATTTCAGTTTCTAAATGTGGCTTTTTCCTCAACCTGACTTTCCATTCTAGTTCTCATGCTTAGATTACACATACTTTAATTTTTTGAAAATTTTGTTTATTCTTGTCTAGAAGCTGCCAAACTCCATAGAGATGGAACCAACAACAAATGTGCTAGACTCCTTTTATCAGGACCCAGCAGATCAACCTTATATAGAAAGTTCATAACTGCTTAACTATAACATGACTTCTATCTGAGGCACATTAGATCAGCTCTCTGGAGAGGGCCCCTGACTGTGGTCTTCCCCACATCAACCCTTCTCAGCTTGAAGCAGTTAGGTAGAAATTATACCCTTTCTCTCCTAATCACAGTTAGGAATACTTCTTCAGAGGGGTGAATATTGTTAATTAGATATTTTGTACCCAATTAGACAGGGTCAGCTCTTGAGGAATCAATATGAAAGACAACTGAGAAACATTCACTGAAGTTCAGCACTGTATAAAAAAGAAAAAGTATTACACTTATACACTTCCCATAGAGATGATTAGCAGTGATTTACCTTCCAAATAGATATCAGTCCTGTAAGTGGTGACCAGAAATTCTCTAGCTCATTTCTTTTCTGGAAATTCTTTGTTCACTCTATGTATGTGTGCTATGTTACTTGTTTTCTCATTTGATCCCCATTTAATCAATTTGTCTGGGTAACTGTACTTGAAATCTTATTGGTTTGTCATGGTTTTGGCCCACCTTATGTCCACCTCATGATTTTATTAGTTGACTATAGTTTTGTCCCACCTTGTACCTATCTCACCTCATGGCTTTGCTCAATAAAACTCTTGAGAAGCAGAGTGAGTGAGAAACCCATTTTCCAGCCCCCCTTTTGTCTGTCTTCGACAGAAACTATCTTTATCTCAAAAATTCTCCCTGTTCTTAACCTTCATTGTTACTCAGCATTTCAAATATCAAGCAAGTTGAGAGTTATAATGCTTGCCTTATATTATTTGGATTAGGTTGCTTATTTGGATTGAAATAGACAGCCTACTTAGTTAGAAATATTATAGGCAGTCAGGCTGGGCTGGGCCCTAGAAGTCAGTGCAGAGGATGAGAACATATTGAAGCTGTGGCTGGAGGTGCATCTGAAGAAGATTAAAGTCACAACGGCCAGCTCTGCACACTTCCCTAAGGGATGAACAGAAGTTTGAAATTATTGGTACCCCCCTTTTGGGCTTTCCTGTATAGATAGACCATTATCTCGTTGAAGGTAAGTCATCCTCCTCCACTCATCAATACTAAGACCAGTAAGACTAAGAAGACTCAGACTACAGATTATTGACCAAAGTTAATGATGTCATCCATATACCCCTGTTTCTATCAGGTCAATATTACCTAGGCAACTATACTTAAAATCTTATTTGACTATCGTTTTTTATCCCCCTTGTACCCACCCCTCATGACTTTGCTCTATAAAACTACCTTGAGAAGTGGATTCATTGGCAACCCATTTGGGAACCCTCCTATCTCTCAGGGGCTATTGCTATTCCCCATTCCTATTCTGCAGTAAATATTCCTACTCTTAACCTCCATTGTTCCTTAGAATTCATTCTTTGATTTTGGCTACCATGAACTTGGAATATCTGATATCTAGCATATTGGGAGTTACATCGATTCCCCTATATCAAGATTACTTGGTACACTATATCAGGATGGTTGGGCAGATGTGAACACCTGGCCAGCCCACCTGCATCCTCTAAGACTTTTATTATGATAGACAGCTGAGTTAGGTAGAAATATTAGAGGCAGTCAGACAGGGCTAGGCTGTCAAAGAAGTCAGTGCAGATATGAGAACACATTACAATTTTGGGTAGAGATGCATTCATTTAAGGCCAGGCCTCAAGACAGGGACAAACAATAGTGATTGATATTATAAATGGGCATATCACCCGGGTGGGGAACCAAGATCTTAACCCATCCCTTCCAGGAACATTTTCCTTCTTTCTTTCCTTCCTTCCTTTCTCTCTCTCTCTCCTTTCTTTCCTTTTTTTTGAGAGGGTCTCACTATGTAGTTGAGACTGATCTGGAACTCACTATGTAGCCAGGCTGGTCTTGAATTCACAGCAATCCTCCTGCCTCAGCCTCCTGAGTGCTGAGATTACAGACATGTGTGCCACCACACCCAGCCTTTCTTTCCTTGTATCTTTTTTGTACAGGGGAACGAATTGAGGACCTTGCATCTGTGAGGCAGGTGGAAGCACCACTGAGCTAAATCCCTGGTCCCTGATCCTTGTTCTTTCCATGCACACTTGGTACATATTTTGCTTCCGTATTGGATCAATATTATCTAAGTGACTACATCTGTAATCTTATTGGTTTTCCATAGTGTTGTTCCACTTCATGCCAACTCATGATTTTGGTCTATAAAATTTCTTTGAGAAGTGGCTCATGGGCAGCCCACTTTCTGGGTCCCCTTCTGTCCCAGACAGAAAGTATCCTTTCCTCAATAAATTTCTCCTAGTCTTTTTTTTTTTTTTTTTTTTTTTCTGGGGTTGCGCATCCGCCTTTGAT